GAGAGAGGAGAGAGAGAGGAGAGAGAGAGAGAGAGGAGAGGAGGAGAGAGAGAGAGGAGAGAGAGAGAGAGAGAGAGAGAGAAGAGAGAGAGAGAGCGAGAGAGAGAGGAGGAAAGAGGAAAGCGAGATTGCATCCCATTCCACAAAAATATCTTCAGTAGATGATAACATAAACAGATTTAACAATGTCGAGAATAGACCAAGAAACAATGGATGGGGGTAGGGCTCACTATGTAATGTATAGACATGCATGTATTTTTTAATTAATTTCTGCCTTAATTGTTAATTTATTTGCAAAAGTCCATGTAACTATGTCCCAAGGTATACACGGGGACAGTCTGGTTGAATAACATATGTTTCGTTACAGTATATCCGTAAAACAACTATTTAACTATGAACGCTCATATTTTTGACTACGCCAACGCCGAGTGGCAACTATAGTTGCCAAGTACAAATCTAGTACAAATAACTACAAATGAGTAGAGTGCTTTCAAGTTTTGAGACACTGGTAGCCTGCCTACATCCTTTCTGGATCAAAATAAGCCGAAAATGCTCGGAAATACCGGACACTCTGGAAAAACAGCGTCGTTTTCTTCGGGACCGTCAAGCCAATATGGCGGCCGTCTCTGCAACGTCTGACTATTTCTTGATTTGTGAAGCATGTTGCGCACAGGACGTGACTAAAACCGTCTGATCATGATGAGAAGGGACTATGCTGATTAGGCATCCCACAAATGCTGTTCTGACGTCATTAACTTGCCTTCAGCAGTAGGTTTTTGTAGATGGCAACTATAGTTGCCACTCGGCGTTAATGAGTTTCAAAAGGCTGCAGTCGGCAGCACGATACCGTTATGTTACTGTAATTGTTTGACCAGCGCTGTATCGCTGTGTCTTTTTTCGGAGCAGGATCTTATGAGCGCTTTGGTATGAATTATAATTGCATTAATATAGTACGGTAAGATACGGTATAATATATCATGTTGTATGCTGTGTAGTACTTCACGGTAAGCTGTCAAGGCCGATATCGTGTAACTGTTTTGCATGACGCCGTTTTACTTAATGACGGTAGGTACTATAGAATATTGCGATGCCATAACGCTAATCTATACGACGATCTGCAAGCAACAGTATGTATAATTGCTCCCTTATGGAGCACATAGTTTATTGATAAAGTAGGTAGGCCACATAACGAGTCTGGTCCTAAGTGTGTCAGGTATCGACCGTGTCGCCAAGTGTCAGGATGTGTCAGTCAGCGCTGACCGCTGTGTCAGTCGAGTCAGCGCTGTGTCAGCGCACTCAGCACTACATCAGCGTGACTAGGCTTCAAGGCAGTCCTTTCAGTGCGACTGATTCTGATCAATGGATGACTCGAATGAAAACAAAAACTGTGGTTAAGACGCTGCCCAAATCTTGATGTCAGAGATGTAGACATTTCCCATGGTCAGTCATGTGTTACAAAATTGATCCGAAGGATAGATACGCACTATGTTATCATTTCACTATCAACTACGAGATCTTTATGGAGCTGGACGAATCTAGTCGTCCGTAACGATTTACCATATACCTACATTGTAAATATGCAAACGATAGTACCTACATGCGTAATAAATATACTCAATCTTATCCATCTCTCTGTCACATATATCTCGATAAGAGAAGCGCAACAAATGACATAATGACGACCAATGACATAAAACTGAAGCAATAAAGTTTATCGTTCAAGTCTGAGTCGTGGCCACATTTACGACGGCTAGCGCATGCTCAGTCACTAGCAGTGGGGATCCAGCTCAGAGTTTTTTTTTTGGGGGGGGGGCAAACCATAACAATTTATCGATTCTTTCCATGCCTCGTCAATAGGCGTAATGTTAAAATTATGCCGTTTGGGAGGGGCAAATGCCCATTTTGCCCTCCCCCTGGATCCGCCACTGGTCACTAGTATTATGAACACCCACTGGACATCAACCCAGACAATTTCAGGTCCGATGTGCCATTCAGTCGCCTCTGCTGCTGCCTCCTTTTTTGTTGGGTTAGGCCCTTTCGGTCTGACAAGACCATTTCAGAGCCGGAAGGATGATAGGAATTAGGGTAAGACATTGGTCTGGGCAGACTCCCTGAGAGTCGCCGGGGCTGAGCCCGTCCGAAAGGACAGGCCGACCAGCTCCCCAAGAACTCTCTGCACCCGGCTACGGGGTGCGCTCCCTTGGGAGCAGCCCGCATGAGATAAAGGTGCCTGTCCAGCCCGGAGTGGGGGTTGCGGCGTGGAGGATAAGGTTTTCAGTATCCTGAGGATGGAAACGAGGGAACGGAGCCGGCTGCCTCCGGTACTCTTGACACTGTATAGTGTTGTCGCACTCGCGACCGTCAAGCACCGTCTGACTCCACAACCAAAACGGGAATATAAAACATATTTTTTCCTGTTCGTTGGCTTACCACTCCACTGTGCGGTGGCTGTTCGCGAAACGTCCGGGTCAATTGTGCTACTGCTGACCATATCCATTAGACCCAATTAACGAATCACACCTGGGGCCGTATTCACGTCGATCATTTCCGTAAGAATTCTCTTAAGTTTGACCTACTTCTTAAGTATTTTTTTTTATTCACGTGAACTCCGTCGATAAAAACTTAAGAAGTGTCGACGTGAATACCAAATTATACTTACGAAAGAAAATCGACTTACGAAGTCGACGTGAATACGGCCCCTGGTCCCAAGCGGCGAGCTTGTTAGGTGGCGAATCTCGCAAGCGCTTGTGTCAGTTTCGGAAGCGAGAATGTGCACGAGAGAATTTTGATCAGCTGTCCGCGTCACCTACTGTAAATGTTATTAAAGTAATCTTTCGTCACCTATATGTTGATTCGGTTGAATGAGATGTGAGCTTGAGCCCTGTATAACTCCCTGAGTGCTAAAGCAAATGTAACGCCATTGAAATGTATGCAGGTAGCGTGCTCGTAAGTACGAGTAGAGCAAACGATTGGCAACAGCCAATAGCTGCCTTTCATTACGTTTGGAGAACGTTCATTGAGAACCGGGAAGTCGATTATGCGTAAACTTACGTATTTTCTGCGTTTACTCCCCAAAGTTTTGCGTCTTTCAATGGACCCACCCCACTTTTTGGTCGGTCAGGCAGGAGCGGTTTGCCGGGCCCTGACCGGTCGAATGGGACATGGAGAAACTCGACCGATGCGAATAGCACGGAGACGGCGCTTAGGGTGTGAGAAAGACTAGCCCGAAATCGAACGCCGGGTAGTGTGGTGCCTATTATGCCGACTTCGTTGCGAAAACATCAGGAAAACACTGCGCAAAACAAAGGAATGAGAGATTCACTAATGACTCTCTAATTCTGATGCCATCTGTACGCTTGTCGTCGACCATACTAACTTCTCTCTCTCTTCCCTCTCTCTCTCTCTCTCTCTCTCTCTCTCTCTCTCTCTCTCTCTCTCTCTCTCTCTCTCTCTCTCCCTATCTCTCTTCCTCACTCCCTCTCTCTTCTCTCTCCCCTCTCTCCCCTCTCTCTCCCTCTCTCCTTTTTCTGTCCCTTCTTCTCTCCCTTTGTTCGTCTCTCTCCCTCATTACCTTTCTTTATCTACCTCCCTCTTTTTCCTTCCGCTTCTTTTTTACTCTCATGTATAATGTTTTTCTTCTACCTATTGCAGAAACATCATCACGTTTACTTAGGTCGATATGAACAAAAGGAAGTATTATTGCATCTTGCCACTTTTAAAGACACAATGCAAAAATGCATTGTCATTGACACAATCTTCTAAAAATGCAATTTCCAATCAACGTCAACACAGAGAAGAATGATATCGAAAAAGTTTTTCAATAGAGATATTTTACTTTCATTGTAAATTTAAATCATTTGAATCCCGAGCGCAAAATTGACTCGTGCAAGATACACGCCAAGCTCCAAAACTCTGAGATGATCCCAATAAAGTGTCAGGTAGAGCACTCTCGTGAAATACACACCGTTTCATTATTTTTCATCCTCAGGACATTCAAATCCTTTCCCCCGCACCGCCAATCCGCTGATTCGCCTGGACGGCCACCTTTATCCCCCATGGATAGCTTCACAAGGAGCAAGGGGGCTGGGTGGCCTGTCGAATTGGATGGGCTCAGCCCTGGTGTAGCACCACTGCACCAGGGTGCCCGCCCAGACCACTCCTTATCACAATTATCTTTCCGACTCTGCAAAGTTCTCGGCAGAACGAAGGTTCTAAACCCATAAAAAAGAAAAAAAATCGTTCAATACCAGAGTACCGTGCAGTCCGCTGTCAGGGCTCAGGGATGCACCTGCTGACGTGGCCGCTCTACATCCCTGCAGAGGAATAAACCATGGAGTTCTGATTCCCTGGGCCCATCCCTGCTCTGGCCCTGCGCTCTGACCCATCGACTCAATTAGACAGGAGTCGTGCTTCACAGTGAGGCACGTGTTATTGGTAGAAAATACATTATTCGAAATAAAAATTTGGTGACAAAATATTTTTGAATGCATCGGAAATTTGCCATGATTTAGTTGGCGATTTTTTATTGTTGCTTTTCATTTTTGTTACATTTGTTTCATTGTTCTCCGTTCACACGAAATTTTAGAGAGGTCACAATTTCTGTTAAGGAATTGACGCAGCAAAATGGAAGTACTAGCAAAATTTGGCGTCCGCTGTTCGGACTGCCGATTCACATTCGCAGCTTACAAATTTGAGTGAAAACGACATTCAGCGCTGTAAATTTCTACAGCCATGAACTACATCCTGAGGAATTTTCCAAGAACGGTATGTACTATCTCGACTTACGCGGCATTTTGTATTATGATGACGGGGAAGTTTGGGTATGGAAAGTGATCTGTAACGAAGCTTATTAAAAATAGTGACAAGGCACTGGTGGATCCAGGGCGGGGCATTTGAGGACAAGGCCCCCTCGCAGCGCTCTAAATCGATGTGAATTCTCCTTTAGCCAAGCGCAGCGCACCTCATTGGCTATCGCACACTACGGAAGACGCAGCGTGAAAGACGGGCGACTCCTTCGATCACCTGATTCCCCTATATGGTACTCCTCTATCAATATGGTACTCCTCTATCAGTATGGTACTCCTCTGTCAGTATGGTACTCCTCTATCAGTATGGTACTCCTCTGTCAGTGAGTCCCGGTACAGCCTCTAGTGGCGCGTACCGTTTATGATATTTCACATGCCTACCCTCCGTTCAGTCGGACGCTGCATGTATACGACACAAGAGCATCGCACCACATAAACTGCACTCAGAAACGCGTAAGGAATCGAAATCCGATTTTTAAAATCGGGACACTTTTCGGGAGGGTACCTACGTATCGCGTGAGGATTTAGTTGAGGCAGTTCATTAGAGCAAAAGCTCCTTCCACAGCGTCCGAAAGGAACGAAATTTTGTCATGTTCTTGCAAACAATGAAACCTAAGGAGCTTTGACTAGAACAAAAATAATGCACAGTTGACTACGTAATGAATGATGTTCCACTTCTTACATCTGACACTTGCCTGGAACGTCAAGCTGTGCCGATTATCCAGCAATAAAGAGGGGCTATGTTTAGTGTGGGGGTCACAGCATTCAATTGTGTCACTCAGCCTGTGCGTAATGCGACACAGCCAAGCAACTGATTGCTTGTGAAAAATGGAACATTATTCTGCAGTCAATTGTACGTACTTACATACCCTGCACAACGACTTGCAAAGAAAGACCCCCACAGCATCCGATAGCACCTATCTAGTGTACATACCTAACAAAGTGTACATAAAATTGAGCTGAATGTTAGCTTAGGACTGATGCTATCCGGTGTCTATTTTTCGAACTAATGCCAGGGGCGGATTTAAGGCAGCCCCACACTGGACCTCGCATGCGGGTTGCGAGTTTGCGGGTTTTGAGTTTGCAGGCATAATACTAATTCATAGAGCGCTTAGACCGTTCCCTTATGGTAACTTCATGAATGCAGTGAAGCCGGTACGCCTTCAGAAAATTGCATATAGTCGCAATACCAGCGCAACGAACCAAAATTCGACTCCAACGAAAAACCCGCAAGCCTCGCAGAACTCGCAGACCTCGCAGCGAGGAAAATCGAAAGTTGACTCAAAATCAACTTTTGGAATGCGATGCAAGGTCGCCCGCAAGCTAAAAACATGTAGACTCGCTTGTTGTGGGTCAACCAGCTTAGTTTGTATTCTTTGATTTTAAAGAAACCCGAAAACCCAAAAACTCGCAACCCGCATGCGAGTTCCAGTGTGGGGCGGCCTTTAGGGCGGGAATGGCTAGGAGAGGACTACGACTTTCACCACTCCGAGACCCCGGTTTCGATCAGTTCAAGCCGCTGAGCGACTCGTCTTCATCGAATTCGGCTGCTAGAGGCCACGGGGTCATGTGGATACTGCCGTACCGCCGTTGGTTGATTGGCGCGCGGCGCGAGGCTCGCGGCTAGAGGATCGGCGTTCAGTTGCATTGGGTCGGCGACGGGGAGGGTACCGCGAGCGCGCGGTCGGTGTAGATAGAAAGGTCGCTCACAAAGGCTGTAGATGCCAGTGGGATCGATTTGTGGCCGGTGTTGATGCGGCTGGTGGAGTGCTCAGGGTCGTGAGTGAAGACGGCTAAACGCCATGGGCCTGTGGAGGAATCTAAGAGAGGTGAGTTTTCCGAGATGCCGACGGCCCATTGGCAGCAGTCCTGGTTCACACCTGAATACCAATTAATCCTCGCCAGTATTGGTGTTTTGCCAGCAGCGAGCGTATAGGGGGGGGGGGGGTCCGTTAGACCCCCTTCCGTTGGACACCCCTTCGCTGTTTTGCCCCTGATCAAGCTAGAGCCCCGCGGAAAAAAACGAGCGTGTTGCCCGTGACGAGAGGAAGCCGATGATACCCAATTTTAACCCGCGCCCCACGGGGGCTATTCATAGTCCCCTCCCGTTTTTCTGCAATAACTTCTAAATCGCTTGATGTATCGCCGCCAAACGCTCAGTACCTTCGCCTGCATCGGCTTGACACCTTGTGTCAAAATTTGAATCTCGTATCTATCATAGGTCGGCCGAAAATGACGTCAGAGTGACGTCATGTTCGGCCGATTTCGACGCAAAACATTGAACCACGGGAATCGCTTCCAAGAGCTCATTTTTTGAGCTAGATCCAATTTCTTTGCATGAGAGGACTCAGAATGGACTGCGCTATCAAAATGCTATCTCGAATTTTCAAAATCTTAAAAATTTCGAAAATTATATATATTAAAATTCAAAATTTGTATTTTTATCTTTTTTTCAAAAATGTTTGACTTTTCGAAAAAACCGGAATACGTGTGATAGAACACATGCATATGACTTAGGTACTCTAGCAAGTTTTAGCCAGATATCTTTAAAGATGACCAAGTTATACGCATTATAGCAAAAATTTCACAATTTTAAATTTTTCAAATCAATTTGTCTGTACGAATTTGACATCGCACACCAATATAAATAGCACCATCGTGTTCCTGAGCTCAAACTATATCCGATAGTCATGCTTTTGTTGAAAAATTTCAACTTTGAAATTTGACCTTTTTTGGCCTAGAAGTGGCCTGACCTCAGCTATATTCAGATGAAAATGGCCTCAAATGACACCGGCGACACCGAATTCGAAATCTATGACCTAAATGGACCATAAAACATGTTTCACGTGACCGACTTATGACATAAGATTTCCGTGACCTATGATGACCTGACCCTGACCTGAAAATCAAAGTACAAGTTTCGTATCCTCAGGGTATCTAAAGTATCTGTTCACGAGTGTGTAAACCAAAAATCAGCCTAATCTGACTTGTAAGACGGCAGCCAGAGTCCAAAAAGTGAAAAGTCAAATATCGATAATTTTTACTTTGACCTGACCTGTGACGTCATCGGTGACCTCGAGGTCAATGAAATTAGGTTTCGCTCGACAGTTTTTTCCGGGACTATCAGATGCCGTTTGATATTTGACAATTGGCCCAGTACTTTCGGAGTTAGGAGGGGGGAGCTATGAATAGCCCCCCCCCACACGTGGGGCGTGTTATACACAGACCCCAGTGGGGCGCGGGTTAACCCTCGCCCGTAAACGGCGATCTGCCACCTTCGCCCATGCAGGGGGGGGGGGGGTTGGTGCGACCCCCCCCTTGGCGTTTGAAAACGGAGCGTCGTAGAGCTTAGCGGAAAAGACCAACGGATTGCTCTCGCCGAGATCTCGCGATTGGTGGTATATTTTTTGGTCCTAGGTCAACATTTGACCTACTTTTGACCGGTCAAAGGTCAAATTTTTCGGAAAAATAGACTTTTTCAACTTTCCGCGGCGATTGCGGCATAACGGTGGGAGATATCGACTTGCAACCTTCACTATCGTGTTCCTTGATCAATTCTCTATCGTTTGGTATGTATTTCGTTTCCCTAGCTCTAAAAATGGCGCGTTGGGAGCGCCGGAAGTCGGCAAGGTCACAGTCGGCGGCAGAAATTCGAAAAATCAAAATTTAAATTTTTGAAATCTGATTGTATTTTTGGATTTGGGAGGTCCATTTGCTCCCTATAGAAGCTAATATTGCTGCATATTCCCATCGATGTGACAAGAATTAGCAAAATAGTGGTTCGGGCGCTTTTCAAAAATAGTACCGGACGCTGTTCCTCTTGTGACGTCATAGCTCCGTGACCTGACCTGACCCGGTCAAGTTTCTTATACCATATGATAGCCAATACTTGCCCCAACATGCATGGGAAGTTTCATCACGATCCATCAACCGATGTCCGTACCACCGGCAGGAAACCTGGGGCGTTGGCACTCAGTTTGTGAAAATCCGGCCGGAGGCTGTTCCCTTTGTGACGTCATAACTCCGTGACCTGACATGACCCGGTCAAATTTTTTTTATCAAAAGATGCGCAAGGTTTGCCCCATAAGGTACCCAAAATTTGGCGGCGCTGCGCGCCGCCGTTTTTGCACTATTTCCGAAAAACCTCAGGGGGGGGGGGGTTGCACCAACCCCCCCCCCTACATGGGCGAGGGTTAAGGTCATAGGTCATTGGTTGACCTTGCAGGTCAAGTTAATGACCCAAAAGTCGGGAAAATCGGGACCTGTTAAAACGTCGTAAAGTGTGGCTTCTATGCTTTTTTCGGGGTGCTGATCTAGAATATTATGTTTGTTTTGATCACAGATAATGGCTTCATGCATTTAGGCCAGGTCGGGTCAGGTCAGGTCAGGTCAACCAGTAGGGGTCCCGCCGGGTATTCGTAATAGGTGTCAAACGCCTCTGACAGCTTTGTAACATGTTACGAACGCACCAAAACTTCTTCGTGAATATTCAAATGGCTGCTAAATTCGAATTTAGCTGCAACAAGATAGAAACATGTATATAAAACTTGAAGAAGTGCACCAAAGTCATCAAAGGTCATTGACCTGACCTGAACTTCAGGTGACCTTGAAACCCACCCTAATGCATGGAAACAACATCATATCACATGTCCGGACGCTTGTTACCACGAAAAGACTACAAAGTGCAAACGCGCGGATAATGCGAGCCGACATTTTTTTTTTGTCAATGGCAAAGACAGCGGGCCCATGACAACGGCAAAAATAATCCGAGCGTGTTCCAACCCTCTTTCAAGTTTCTTCTGAGTGGTGACATATTTAGCGACATTTATTGCGAGTTTGGGTGAGCCGTGTTGTAATGAGATTACATTTTTTTTCACCAGACTATGCATGAAAATTTTGAACGCAGGCTGAGTTCACTGGCGCACATTCCTCAGCAGCAGGTGTTCCTGTCCCGACCTT